GCGGCCACGCCCGGACAGGGCTGGATAATTAAGCCCGATGGAGTGTGTATGCAGGGCTTTCCTTTTCTTTGTTGCCCCTCGCTGCTCACTGTTCGCTCGCGTCCCCCGCCGACCCCACCCCGGCCCCCCCGCGTCCCTTGGAGATGTATAACATGTATGCTGCCTCCTATACGATTGTGCAGAGTACGTCGCGCAAGTGGGACGTGTCGTGTCATCGCGGATGCGATATGAGAAAACTTTGTCGCGTTTTCTGGACACGACGGTGCCGTATGCTACCCAGTGCCAGTGCCCGATGCAGTGCTATCCGGGACGGGGCAACTATTCCTTCCAGCAGAGGCGAAGGTCCCGCTCCAATCCGACAGTCATCCGCGGCATCGCGGGCCTAATGTGGCCAGTAAATAACATTCCGAGCCGGTCGTCGGGTCCAGGGCGCGCTCCGCGTTCGGGACGGCGTGCCTCGGGGCTCATTTACATCCCGGACCGATTGACACTCGGGCCCGGGCCGGCGCGGGTCGGGCGCGTCGGGGTCAGCGCGCCGGGTCAAGTCATCGGCCGTCGCTCGATGCTTCTCCAGGTGGAGCTCCGCGATCCCTTCTGCCTCCCGCGGGGGATCGCGCTCCCCGCCGCAAGCTTCCCTTCCCGTTCCCACGCCGCGTCACGGCCCGCCGCCGCGGTGGAGGGGTGAGGTGGGGCGGGGCGGGGTGGGGCTGGACGCCTCCGGAGTGGCCGTCCGCGATGTGTCGACGACTGCATGACGCCTGCTACCGGCCGCTGCCGTTTCGGACGGACGGACACAGGCAGGCATTGAGCTCGTTGCACCGGCACACAAAGAAACGTCGATAGTGCCTTTAGTTTTGTTTCTCGGTTAACTATTTTAATTGCATTATTATTCATTAATGCGCGGGTTTCATTCCCGTCGCTTATATGTGACCAATATAATAACGCCAACGCTACGTATAATGACTAGATGCCCTCCAAAAACAAAAGCGCACGAGGAAATCAACAAAAATAAACTAATTCTGAAATTTTCCCCGTCTTTTCAGGTCGGAGTTCGACGACGGGCGCGTTACTGGCAGCGTGATTCGGCCAGATGAGATGGGGTCTCGTCTGATTGGAACAGGCAGATGTGGTCGAGTGAGGTGATTGTGATAAAGTGCAAAAGTGAACCGTGCAGCATCGCTCAGTGGATTAGTCGCAGTCGCACCAGCAACATCGCGGACGCGCCTCGACGCCAGCAACAGGTAAGCGAGTGGTCGCTGGTCGTGTGGAGCACACCGCGGAGTCGCGCGCGCGCGTGTGTGTGTGTGTGTGAGTGAGTGAGTCCATGCGTTGGTGAGCTACGCTCGGCATGGACATCCGGATCGTCTGTCGCTCCCTGTTCCCCCAAACTGTTTGATTACCCCATTCTGGTCGATTTGTTGTGAATGATTGTTTTCTCTGCGGGGCTGGTGAGCTGGCCACGCCCCGCCCTGCCACGCCTCGTCCCGGGTGGAACCGGTGGAACTGACTGACTGGTCGGTGTACTCTCCATTAGGAGTCCATCGGCGGGGCGGGGCGTGGCGGTCCGGGGCGCTGTGCAGGGCCAAGGGCCCCCCTGTCTATTTGTTTACCCTGCCGAGGCCGCTGCATGGGGTCCACCTAGGTCCAGACGTGCTCCGCCCCGTCCGGCGGGTGCGAGAGAGACGCGGCTATGGCGGCGGCCTCCTGCAGAGGGAGCGAGGCGGCCGTCCTGTTTACGTTTGACGCCGTGCAGTGCGTTCTATTCCAGGACGGTTTGTGTTATGGACCGCCGCCGCCCCTCCGCCGCCTTGATCAGGCTGCTCGCGGTGGCGGGGC